GCTGTTGTTGCACAGCACACTGCTGCATTTCTGATGTGTCCTGCTCGGTGTTTCCTTGGAGGCAGCTTGGTGGCATTGGAATGTTATAGTGGTACTTGGTACGGTACCTCTTACGTGACGCATGTGGATGCTCATGATCGTGAAGACAGTCTGAGTAGTCATGATCTGCATATTATGGGTCAGCTACTGCTGCATAACGTGGCGCTGTGTTGTTGAGCGCGGCAGGTTGAGAGAGTAACCAGGCCTTTGCGGACGAGCCTGCTGCTGGGGGGACAAGCTGCCACTACACACAGGTTGTGCGCTGCTTCCCGCTGCGGACTCTTGCTGTGGGCGGCTACTGGGGGCCTGTTGGTCCCTATGGGTGTATTCTGCGGGCATAAGGTGGGTTGTGTGCGGGTTGCTACTGCTACTGTGCATCACGGTTGCACCAGGCTGCTACAGCCTGTGACTGAATAGAGCACGGGGTGTGCTCTTTTCGAAATATGGCCTTTTCCGAACTGAGTAACTGCAGTCTTGAGCACGGTAACTCTGAGGAGGGGTCAGGCTCAGCAGAGGGGTTGTTGCCACAACGTGGAGGATTGTCAGGGGGGATGGTATGCTGCATCTGGTCAAGATTCGGCTATCTCGGCTGCGGTTCATTGACCACCATTGCGGGGCCCTCAGGCGTTGAAGGTTTCAAGGCCCTCTCACGCAAATCTGAAAGCACCCCTCTTGGATCTGAGGGTCTGTTCATTCTCTTTTACTATCCTTCTCAGTTTCAGTCTAACCTATTGGTTACGAGAGGAAGGCCACATGCGGGATTGCAACCCGTAGATCCGCGCCAAGGTCTATGTGGGAGGTTGCCCTACCAATCGCGGGAGCTCTGCCGGAGCCCAGGCGGGGTTAGAGGCAGGGAACACTCAGGTATAACCCTCGATTTATGTGTGTGATCCTATCATTAAACTATATTATCCTATTGCTATTGGCCTGATTGTATGTATGACTGAAAAAAATAACTGTTTTTCTTTACTTGTTTGAATTCAAGACATTGTTTTGCAAAAGTAAGTAGACAAATAGGTATTGCAACAGAAAAATTCCCACGAGAAATGAAAGTTGAAAAAACATTCCATAAAAAAAAAATCCTTCATATTTATAAATTATCATTCCAATGTTTGTCCAATTCTAAAATTTTCAGTTTTATTTGATAAGTTCCCGTCTAAATATGATTTTTCTCTTTCAACTACATCTATTGGTTTAAGATGGAATGAAAGTCTGGATGAGTTTATGAAATATTTTAATTAAACTTTCATTCTACTACAACAAATATTTTCTAATTGAGATTGGATCAACTTATTTATGACTGAATATCCTTAGTTAGAATGACAGTCGAATTAAAATATTTCATGAACCCATCCAGACTTTCATTCCATCTCTAGCATGTAGTTCAAATAAGAAGGGATACCCCATTTTTGGAAGAAAAGTTCTCAAGTAAGATGAAAAATTTTAAAATTCGAATGACATTTTTTAAGATGGAATGAAAATTTGAAATTTAGAATGTAATTTTACCATAGAATGAATATTTAATTCTGGGAAATTTTTCTGTTGTGATTTAATCAAGATTATCAGTCTGAATTCAGAAAACACAGATGCGTCAAATATGATTGCGAAGGCTGGGCGAATGTGTAAGTTGCGGGTTGCTTAGTCTTTCGCACTTGTTTTACTTGTTATTTGGCAAGCTATACTACCTTTAAATTGGGTAGCCTAGTTCTACGCTGTATGTAATTGTATGGGCTTGCCAGGCACAACATAAGTTGTTATGCCTAGTCATGTGTCTTTCGTCGTTTGTTCATGCAAAGGCTGGGCTCCTCATAAGTTGAGGTAGTCCCGTTCTTTGTGTATGTTGAAAGTTTAGGCTGATCAGTCTCACCATAAGTTTGTGGGGCCCGGTTATACGCCTTACGTCAATTGTTAGGCAGAAGTTGACCACACCATAAGTTGGTGTGACTCAGTCTTATGCTTTATTGTTCCAGGCGAGACTATTCACACCATAAGTAGGTGTGGTCAAGTCATGAGCCACCATCACTAAGAGAATCAGAGTATACAAAGTGATACATCATTTATTATGTATATTCATGACAGGCTCAACGCCATAAGTCGGGAGATTGAGCCATATAAGCCGGTAGCAGACAAAGCAAAGGGAAAGAAGACGAACAATACAAAATGGTGTGGTAACTGTAGGCAGGCTGACTCACCCATAAGTTGGGTAGTTGGTCATATATCCTTGATAACACGAAAGCAGAGAGATATATAAAGTCTGACTATTTTCTTTTTCTAAACATAACTGACGCTTGGGTGGGGATCCTCATGAGTTGAGGTGACCTTGCCACTCGTCTGAAGACAAAATCTGATTTTGAAACTTATCTATTGATGTAGTTGTGTTGCGGAGGCCGGGCGAACGCATAAGTTGCGGGTTATTCGATCATACGCGCTTATTGTTGTTTGGGCGGGGCGAGACTACTCATGAGTTGGGTAGCCTGGTCTTATGCTATATGTCATAGTATGGACTGGTCAGGCACAACATAAGTTGTTGTGTTTGGTCATATGCCTTTTGTTGTTGTTTAGGCAGAGGTTGGCCCCTCATAAGTTGAGGAGGTTCAACTCTATGTGTATACCGAACGTTCAGGCTGACCAGCCTCACCAGAAGTTGGTGCGGCCGGCCATACGCCTTATGTCGATCGTTTTGCAGAAATTGGTCACACCATAAGTTGGTATAGCCTAGTCATATAAATTGGCAGGTCAGTCACATCTATAAGTTGAGTTGACTGACTCTATGTCTTATGTAAGGAAGGGTAAAAAGRGAATAATGAGGGTTTTTGAACGAACTATGTGACCTGGAAAAGAACCTGAGGGTTGGTGAGAGATGTTGTTGCACTCACCTATGAATGTTTTTGAGGGTCMTCTCTGGGGTATTCTCTTTGATAGAGTAGTTGTTGTAGATGCTTGCCAAGTGCTGAAGCCATAGGTAGGTAAGATGGATGATGGGAGGGAAGCTTGGGATGAGATAGGACCGACTCTGCTGAAGGTTAGGATCAGTCTTGGCTCATAGTCTCACTCAGAAGGCATGCAGACTAATGTCAAGCCTAAGTTATCAAGGAGGTGTCAGAAGTTAGTCTCAGGTATAGTTATCAGCTTTGTATAAATCTTGGTAGCCCACTTTTCCTACGGGAAGCGCTGCCGAAATTTCTACAAATCTGAAAGAGTTGATCATTTTTGAACTTGTAGAAATTATGGGGGGGCACTTTTCCTACGAGAAGCGCTGCCGAAATTTTGCAGAATTTAGAAAGTTGGAGTATTTTCAGCTAGGAAAGATCTGACAGTCCATCCTGTTTAGGGGATATGCTGCCGAAATTTCCTATATTTTTAGAAAGATATCAGAGGTTAGTTAGAAAGGTAAGATTATTTCTTGGTCACTCAAGCATGGCTTGGGTACTGGCCTGTGCTGCATTGCAGGTCACCTTTATTCAGATTGATTCAAGGCTTGACTAACTTCAAGCTGATCCTACAAGGATCATCTTCTGTTATCTTTTGATTACAGGTCGGGTTCCGACTCAACTCTAATTCACTCTTGCCACTCAACCTAAAGGCTTTAGCCGTGTGGTTTGATTTATTTGTTGTGTTTTCACTCGGACTTTAATTGAATGACCATTTACTAGAGATACCGAGTACTTTATTTTGAGAGTTGCGCAAAGAGTGAGGCTGGTATGACTAAAGCGAGGGGTGTGAGCGCAAAGAATGGTTGAAGTTGACCCCGTGTAGCGTGTGCACTGTTGATGTGGATCTTTGATGTGATTGCGGGTATGTTCTGTGAATTGAAGCCCAGACTGGGTTTTGCGTATGATTATATATATGTATATATAGTTGAAGGAAGCCCCACCATGATTGTGAGAGTGATCGTCTCCTATCTCATAACGTTTATATCATGTTTCTTATGTCCGCGCGGCCCATTGAGGGCCGTACGTAGTGATTAAGTAAGTTTTGCACCGAGAGAAAAGGGAGATCCCCTGTTATTTCTTGCTTTTTAGAATTAATATGGTTGAACGTTGTAGTCCGTGGTAGCCGTCAAACTCAAACCCCTTGATCTCTGGCCACCACGACAGCCCTAAAGCTGTTTACTCAACCCCTCTGCACAGGGTGCAGAAGAGGGTGTGGTCTTCGACCGCACATGGCGGTTGTCTGGCATCGAGAGGTCACCCCTCAAAGCGTCTGTTTGCCGACACTTGAGTGTCGAACGCGACCCGCGAGATTATCAAGGGTCGCGCGGCTACGAGTACCACGTAGTACCCCATCAGGGGGAATGCTTGCGTGTGCCCACATGGCTAGTCGATATGAGTAGGTCATGCGCTCGCACGATTATTATACGAAAAGCCAGCGCGCGATGCCTATCTGATTTGTGCTGCATAAAGTTATGGGTCGGGTATTGAAGGGACTAGGAGTATTGTTGTGTCGTGGTGTTGTTTGTAGTAATTGTGTTGTGTGTGTCCATGTGTTATGTGTGGTGAGTGTGAGTATTGTGGCGTAACGCGTGGTGTGTAGGGTGCGTCCTAGTCAACCGACGCCGGGTCGCGCTTGGGACTTCAGCCCCCCAGTGCGTCAATTCCCGTGCTGGTTCGATTTTGGGCGTTTGACCGCGCGTACCCCCTATGCTACAGCGAGCGAGAAACGCCCTCGGCTGGACCACCTCTGCAATTGCATACGAAAAGCTTTCGCATGTGGTTCAGTAGCGCGACGGGGATACGCCCACCTAAGGGATGGTGACAGCTCTCGCAGGTTGAGGTAAGTGGTGCCTCGCGTGACCCTGTCCTGTCGTAGGGGCTCACGAGAGGTACGGCTGACGCACTCGGCCAGAGCGGCAAACGCTCTCCGCGACAAGTCTTGCATAATCCTGCGTGACGCGGCCGAGAGGGTCCTCGTGTGGGACCGATGCGCTCGACACCGTATCAATGAGGAGAACGAGGATAAGCTGGCAGTGGGAGAGCCTGACTTCCTACTACCTCGAGAAAGGGCATTGATGGTCGAACTGATGAAGAAAAGACATCGCGTCTATGCTTTTAACGATGAGGAGCGTGGCAGGTTGGATGTAGACAAGATCCCTATGATCCGCATCCATACCGTGTCGCACGAACCATGGAACTTAAGAGCGGCGCGATATCCGAATCCTGACGAAGAAAAGCAGGTGGTGGATTACCTCGATGGCAAGATACGTACGCACGTCGCCGATTATTCAAGCAGACCCTACGCGTCCCTGTGGTTCTGTTTCATAAAACCTAATGGGATGCTGAGGTCGGTGCAGAACTTGCAGAGGCTGAATGTGGTGACCGTGCGGGACGCAGGAGGCTTGCCGAATGCGGATGCACTGTCAGAGTCATGTGCTGGAAGACCAATAATCTCACTTATTGACCTTTACTCCAGATATGACCAATTTTCGGTATATCCGTCAAACCGACCAGTTACAGCAATGCATACGCCTCGAGGACTCATCCATATGAATGTGGCTCCACAAGGGTGGACGAATGTTGTGGCAATGGTCCAGAGACATATGATTCGGGCCATGCAAACAGTTAGTCCGCATATCACACAGCCATATATTGACAATCTGGCAGTTAAAGGACTGAGAAGAAGAGAGGACGATGAAGTCTTGCCAGGAGTCAGGCGCTTTGTCTGAAGCATGTTCAGGACCTTGATAAAGTCCTAGGCTTGCTTGAGGGGCATAACCTTACCGCTAGTGGAGCCAAGTCCAAGCACTGCATGAGGGAAGCTACCATTTTGGGATTCGTCCGTAATGAGAGTGGTCGGCGGCCAGACATCAAGAAGACGGACAAGATAGTTGAGTGACCAGTGCCCTTCCACTCGATAACAGATGTCTGGAGCTTCCTTGGCACATGTGGCTTCTGGAGGACCTTCGTAAAAAACTTTGCTGCCAAGACAGAGCAATTATGAAATCTCGTTCGTCAAGATCAGGAGTGGATTTGGGGTGAGGATCAAGGGAAGGCGGTGGCAGGAATGAAGGAAGAGTTTCGAGAAGGAGGGTTGGTGTTGGGAGCGCCGGACTATGACGCCACTGAAGTGAGACCATTTATTGTTGAGACTGATGCTGGACCAACTGCCCTAGGTGGGGTTCTAATCCAGACAAATATTGAAGGAAAGGAGAGGCCGTTGTGTTTCGAGAGTCGAACTCTGTGTACGCCAGAGAGGAATTACTCTCAGTTCAAAAGGGAGACTCTCACTGTCCCTCACTGCCTACGGATCTTTCGGAACTACATCTTTGGCAGGAGGTTCATATTGAGGGTGGATCCAACAACTCTAGCATTTTCCCTAAGGAACTATGTTCCGTCCGATCCAACGGTTGCCAGATGGTTAACGTACATCTGGATGTTCAACTTTGAATTGAAGCGAATTCCAGGGAGTAAGAATATAGCAGATGGGCTAAGCCGCATCAACTGGGATAAGCAGGAAGGGGAGGCAACAGAAGATACACCTTCAGTTGATGGCTTTTTGGACCAGGAGGAGGACATCCGCCTTCACATTAACAAGTGGTCTCCGCGAGTGCTTGGCTGTGTTGGTCATCCAATTTGGCATGCGCCAAAAGGGTATGAGCGGAAGGCTGAGTTAGGGCTCAAGCCCTTCGAAGAAGAGGACCCTTGGGGTAGCAAAGACGTCAAATGGATGATGAAGCTGGCGCTCTCAGGCAATCACAGTCTGGTGGAAGAGATAACGACGATAGAGAAAGGTCCAGACCGGGTAAGGAGGCATGAGGAATTGACGGGGGGAATGTACCTCCTCGTCAATACACTTCTCCAGGAGTCCTTTAACTTGGAAGGCTCGCTAAATCCGGCTGAAGGAGAAAATGTTGTGCTAGAAAGCCAGGATGACGAGTTTGAAGAGGGAGAGAACAAGGAGGCGTTCCGTGCAGAAGAGTATGACGAAATTTACCTGGAGTTGGGGCTTCTCCTATCGTGCAAGATGTGGGACAGGGATGCAAGTGATAGGGTGTAGCGGACCTCTGGTTGGCCTGTGAGACCAGCCCCTTGGCCTGTTCTCACAGGCCTGTGTTGTATTCGGGGTAGGCCAGTCCAGGCCGGTACCTCTGTCGGTACCAGCCAGTCCAGTCCATCCCCGTCAGTCCGCTGGGGTATACCCCAGCCATTGTCTGTTTTCAGTCTCATTCTTCACTTGCACATTTTGGAGTACGTGCGTTGGAGTCTTGCGTGGGGAGCTGCGTTGTGCCATCTCGCTCCCCCCTTCTTCCTCCATCTCCATCTCTACCACTTGCGGAGCACCACACCTGATGGGTCCGCTACATTGGTATCGGAGCGGGAACGGTTCCCGCTCCCACCCACCACCCCGTACAGTTGTCCAGCAGTCCGCACAGTCGGGAATACAGCAAACCCGACAGCGGTTTTTTTCGGTGTTTTTCGACCATTTTGCAGCGAAAACGAAGAGAAAAAAGGTGGCGCCCGCTGCAGGTGACACGTGGCGAAAAAGGGAGGGGCCACCACGAGCACGGCAAGGCCAAGGCCGCCGCACGCGCGCACGCACCCACGCTGCCCCGCCCCGCTCCCGGATTTATATTATCAGAATCTGGGAGTCTTGTTGCTGCTGGGGTTTGAACCCAGGTGGTTGTCGGGCCATGCGCGTGCATAAGCACCCTGCTAACACACTCGCCACAAAGTGTACATGGTGCTGTAGCACGGTACACTTGTGTTGAAGAGGTGCCGTGCTGGCTATTTACCCCCCCCCGGGCAGCGAGCACCGGTCAGCAGGCCAGCGACAGCAAGCTGCTATTTAACCCCCCCCCCCCCCCCCCCCCGCCGCCGTGGATGCTGCTGCCGTGCCACGTGCCAGCTACTGTGAACTGAAGACCCCCCTGCTCAAGGGGGCTGCTCTACAGCGGTGAGGGCCTGCTCACACAACAGACCCCAGATCTGCACATCTGCAGATGTGCTGTTGGGGGTGGATCAAGATCTCAGCCCCCTCTCTCCTCCAACTGCCTGTTGCAGTGAAGACCAAGACCCTCCTGGTCTTGGTGTACCTTGTGCCCTTGGAGACACCAAGGGTCAGGTATCACTCCCTTCTCCCCCCTTTCTCTACTAACCCACTATCCCTACCTCCCCTCTCTCCTCTTACTCACCCCTTCTCTTTCCCCCACCTTCTACTGCATATTTTCTCTCCTCCTTTTATCTTCCCGCTTCTTTTCTCTTCGCTTCTTGATCCCTGTCCACCTTTCCCCATCCCTCCTCTCCCCCAACTACCACCACACCATCCCCCTACCTCCCTCTTCATCTTTTTCTCTCCCCCCACCTACTTCTTTCTTTTCTCCTTCACTTTTTCATTCCCCTTCCCCCCTACTTCGAATTTTTTCTGTTTTTCTTCTTTCCACCTCTCTTTTGATTTATCTTTCATTTTTTTCCAAAAATTCAAAATATCTTCTTTCCCACCTTCTTTTCTCATTTTCTGATTTATTTATTTATTTTT